GCAGGAGTAGACACACTCAAAATAACAGGCATCTCAGAGATGTGCAAATTAGAATGCAAGACATATTTATGAGAAACAAAGGAATGGGTAGCACCAGAATCAAAGAGTGCTTCAACCTTATGTCCCTGAAGGGATATCATACCTTTGATGGCGTTAGGGGCAGCACCTACTTCTTCTTGAGTAATAGCAAAGACACGGCCTGGCATTATTGATCGAGTATCCCTGGAGTTCTGAATGTTATGCTGATTCTCAGGACAATAACGAGCAATGTGCCCCATCTTGTGACACTTGTAGCATTCCCAACATTTTCCAGGATGGTTCCTTCCACACTGTAAGCAAGGTCCATGGATGGTAGGGGTTGACATCACTGATTCATGATGAGTGATCGGGTTTCTATTAGACTGAGATCTTGAGATTGTGCTCTTCTGGGCTAAGCCCTTCTGTACAGACTTCTTGTGGCTTAAACTTCGATTCTTTCCATATGGACCTACACTTCCTATGCCTGTATTATTTCTCTTACTAATCCCTCCACTTGGTCCAAGGTATGAGGAAAACCGCCCTTGAGAATCCCTTCTACGAGCTTCCTCAGCCTCACGAGTCCGCCTAGCTGCAACTCGAAGGTTGGTACACATATCTCCAAAATCAGTCACTGGAACCAGGGCCAGTTGTTGCTTCAAGTCTGGTCTAGCTCTTTCTCGTAATTGCCTAGCCATCCACCCTGAGTCCTCATCCCTCCGCAACAATGTCACATACTTGGACAAGTCTATAAACTTAGCAATGAAGTCATCTTCATGCATATTGTTTTGTTGCAAGGCAAAGAACTCTGATTCCTTGTCTTGACGTAGGGCAGGTGGGAAATAGTGATCGAAGAACATCCTCTTGAATTCATTCCAAGTAACTTGTGAGTCATCAGCTGGGCTCACACTTTCCCACCAGCGCTTAGCTCGTCCCTCTAACAGCACAATAGCTACTTGCACTTTATGCTGAGTAATGCAAGGGGCAGCTCTGAAAATGGTCTCCAGTTTATCAATCCAACCTTCAGCCTCAACTGGATTCATGTCACCCTTAAATCTCGGGGGATTATGACGGCTCACATCTTTCCATACTGTTTTCATTGAAACATCCACTAGCGGGGTTTGTTGGACCGTTTCTTTCCCGCTCTCAGTACTTGGAGCACCTCGCTCTCTAGACTGCAAGTCACCCACACTCTTACTCTCAACTGGGTTTTCCTCTGGTCTGATCTCTGAATTTCTTTTTCCCATCATATCCTCCTCCAACTTCTTAAGCCTTTCTTCCACGACTTCAGCCACTACTTGTCGTAATTGCGTCAGTAGAACCTCGTTATTCTGCTGTTGAGGTTGCTCGGGTAGTTGATCATTAGGTTGATTAAGAAGTTGTTCCGGAGAAGAAGAAGCCTCCTCTACTATGGGTTCAGTCCTTCGTGGTCTTGCCATTCTCCCCACCTAAGGATGGAACCCATGAATACAACCAAACGAAAGAAAACACAAGAAAACTAAAGACATTTCAGGGAAGTTTATGTAACTACGTATATTGCCACTATATGCATGCAGGAAGCAATTCAAAATCACAAAAAGGAAAAACCAATGGCTCTGATACCAAAATGTAACATCACCACTTACTAACCAGAACTAACCATGATAGAAAAGATTAAAACTAGTAAACATACCCTATCATGGTTATTTAAGAGCAATCACATCATTAAAGGGCTAACCATGATAGAAAAACATTCGACCTTAATTAAGACTATCATGGTTAGAAAAAGAATAACCTATAGTTGTAATCATGGCAAACATGGTTATAAAACAATATGCCTTTGAATGATAAATTATAATAGCAGTTTAGACTTGACTATCTTAGTCAACACTAGCAACAACTAAACTTGCCAAAATTGCCATTATCACATCGTGGATCCACAATAATTCAATCACATGCAATCTAAGGGTCTCAAGCCCACTACCAGCACCCTATTCCAATGTCCAAACAAAATAAACCAAAGATAGAAAATATAATACGTTTATTTAGTCAAACGACATAAAAATATAAGAAGGTAAAATAAGTTCCAAATAATGCAGTCCTGATGCGTGGCAATATACGAAAAGATTACATAAAATAAGGTCCAGAAGCTCTACACTGCCAGCTACAGTTATTGAGCCTCAGGAGTCTTCCCCGAAGGTCCCGCTAACGTATTGTTTCCTGAAAATGGTAAAGCAACAGGAGTGAGACAACGTCTCAGTAACTAAATCCCTACCTATCCCACACCCTAGCATGGGCTAGCGAGGTGTCAGGTGGGATACACAGAGTTAATAATAGTTGATAAACATTTATTTAACATTTAAACTCACAATAATCATACAAGACAAATATTTCCACCAGTCTCATGCAATGGATACATTTCAAAAGAAATAACATACTTGTCATTTATTTAAAAGATATAAATATCAATGAATATCTCATGTCATATGCAATTCCTGAACCCAAACCCATCCTTATATCCTCCTTATTTCCGCCGACTGGACCCATGGGCTAAGTTCTTTCCATTTGACTGGCAACTCTAACAAGCTCACCACACGAATGATGTGGACCGGCCAAAGACCACAGAGCACTCGGTGGACCATGGGTCCCCCCTCGAAGAACTAGTGGGGTGTCGCAGTCCCTCGAAGAACTAGTGGGACAATAATAGCAGCCAACCATAGAGCTCCGTATGGAGGCTAATACCACGTGGCAAGTATATGAATCTCAATAACTCCAATTATCTCCTTTCCCCACCCAAAATAGATGCACAGGGTTCAACATGACACATTTATATGCATAATCAACAGAATTTCATAATAGCACATCATAATCATGATCACCAATTTCTTGCAATACAAACTATGTCAATCCTTTTTAAAATAGCATCCCACAAGACAGTTCATATAAAACGTAATATACTTTTATAGAATTAGTTATAAAGCCGCTCACCAACTTCATACTAGAGCATGCAACAGATAGAAATTTAGTTACCTGGTCTCCTAGCTATCAATCAACTACAACCAGAGTCCAACCTCGAAAATGCCACAATAGAGTTTATATCTACAAACAAAATTAAAATATTATCTCTATAGTATTAGAGTAGGCTACTCACAAAATTCTAGCCTCTAACTCCTTCTCTAAAAGCTTTAATTTTACTCAGAACTCTAGCCTAAAAGACATTTCTCTAAGGTTTGGAATAAGAACATATATATATGTGATTTAGACTCGATTCCTAAATTTCCTTACTTAAATATCCTTTAATTATTATATTATTTTATTAGAATCATCAAATTCATAATGGAAATAGACAAACTATAAATTTATAACTTATATTCCATCTTCGAAAGACTTAGACAAATAGACTTAGTACGACCCAAGTTATTCTCACTACAGAAGTTAAACCCATAATCTAACCGTTGAATTCAATTTCCTATCCATCATGATACTATCCTCCAAATTATAGCTCAATCTAACGGTGAATAAACTTTAAAATGCTAATTTACTATTCAGGACTCTATCTGCTAAATCCAAAAGATATAAGTTAAAAACGTACCTAATAACTTGTAACTCGAAGATCAAAAGGGTGATCCGACCGTTGAAATTAACGATTTGGATGTCCCAAATGGACCGACCAAATTTCAGTCCGATCCAACGGTTAATAAAATCAAAACTAGCACTTTTCTGAGACTACCTCAGATATGTGCGAAAATTATTTACTTACTCCAAGCTCCACTCACTAGCTCCTATATATAGGCTCCTCAAACTCCTTCACTCTAAAGATTAGTCGATGTGGGACTTCTATACTATGGTTTAATTTTCTAGAATATCATCCACACATACACACAATCACATACAAAAACATTATTAAAATAATAATAATAATTTGCCTATATCTAACTTCTTCTTTTTTTTTTTTTCTTAATACTAAAATATATTTATTTATAAATTTAATTAAATACTAGATAAAAAATAAGGATGTTACACCTAGGGGAAGGAAAAAGAAGAAATGCAAGCAGGAAATAAAATAGAGAAAAAGGATGGTGAAACAACAGGGGTAAGGGATTTTTTTAATAATTGTTTTATATAATTTATATTGGTTTTAAGTAGAAAAAATTAAAAATAATAAGTAATATAATTCCATTAGTATATTATTCATATTGCTTGTAACTAATAAATTACCAATAATACTTTGTTAGGAGATCAACAGATTCTGGTAAATGAATCAATAAAGATTTTCCTTGCCATGAAATTGATTTATTCCCAGTTTGTCACCACGTTCAAAATTACTTTTAAATACATTTTACGTAATTCGAGAAAATTTTTTTATCATAAACTTATTTCATATTTTATAAATCAAGATTAAAAATTTACTTTTAAGATAATTAGCTCGTTGGGATGCTGGTGCCCTCCTTTCCTTCTTGATGATAGGCTAGGATGTTGGGATGAAATCAACAGGCCAGGATGTGTTGCTATGAAATTGATTTACAACCATTAATCGAAATGAATGAATCATAATAATGCTTGAGAGTGAAAACCCAAAAAAACGAGAAGCAATATATGGAAAAGAGGAAATAATTGAAACCAAAATTAGACATCCACCTTACTATTAGTTTTTCATTTTAACTATAAAATGGTATTTTGGTCTTTCAACAATATTAAAAAAAAGTCTACCCAGGCCTATTAAGGCTTGATTAGAAATTTATTAAAAATGTATGCCTAATGCTGAATTTTAGTATTTTAGTTAGACTTATTAGGGTTCTAAAATTAAATTGTAATTTTAAAATAAGTTATTAATATGAATTAGAGTATTAAAAAAATCTAAAATTCAGAATAATTTGATAAAAGATGACAAAAATAAATAAATAAATAAACACTGCAATTTTAATTTAAGAAATTTAAAAATACATACAATTATTGAAGGGGCGGTAATAGGGCCATGCTGAACCCTAACGGAAGGGAAGGGCGGTTAACTTGTGGAATAGAGAAGTCGAAGGACAAACTGTGCAGTCCAAGGGGCAGCAGTATGGGCGGTCGAGGCAAGTCTCGTACTCAACGAAAGCATTTCCGGCAGAGCTCAGAGAATGTATGGAAGCGTTCAAAACCCGATCCTTCTTCTCAAGACCCTGACTCTACTGATAATCTAAATCCAACTTGGACTCCCTTCGCCACTCAGAACTCTGCTTTTGATGAGTATTACAAAGTGCGTTTTTCTTTTCCTCTTTCATCATTTGTTTCTTTTCTGAAGATTGTTGGTCCTGTTTTTATCGTGCTTTGTGCTAATCCCATTGCAGGAGCAGGGCATAGTGCCACCAGAAGATTGGGATGCTTTCGTCGCAGTTCTCAGAACTCCATTGCCTGCTAGCTTCAGAATTAACGCTTGGTAATTGCTGGTCAACAATTTTTCTACTCTATTATTGACTGTTAATTTTGATTGACGTCCATTTTTGTTGTTTCACTCTCTACGAGAGGTTGGCTTAATAACGGCACTCTAATGCTTTGCTATTCGAAAATGACTTTCGAATGGCAAAAGCATTCACCGTGCTGCGTTGTTCATCCTTTTTACAATAAAAATTTTTATTGAACGAGATTGATTCCTCTAGTTTTTGTTGTGCATTGTTTCATTGTGATTTCCTTTGCTTCTTGCAGTAGCCAGTTTTCTGCTGATCTTAGATCGCAATTGGAGGATGATTTTGTGCAAACTCTTCAGGCTGAGGTTTGTCAGCACTTGTACCATTATGATCATTACGCTGCCCTTCGTTTTTTCCCCCTATTGAAGCTGTATTTTGGTTTTTAATTATTCTTACTAGGTTGCTGAAGGGGATGAGGCAGAGGCCATTAAACCTTTGCCATGGTATCCTGAGAATCTTGCTTGGCACTCAAACTTCTCCCGTATGCAGCTGAGGAAGAATCAAACGCTTGAGAGGTAGATAAATTCTAATCTGTGTTTGGATCTAAGTTTATTGCATGAAATGGCTCATGTTTGTTTTTAAACACATCATACATAAAATATGAAGAGTTCTTTTCTTCCCCCCACCCCCCTAAATACGTCTTTATCTTTTTGAAGGAGGAGGAAAAGTGTTCGTTACTGTCTATCCTTCTCTATCTAACCTTTTCTGGTCTGTATATATTCATCTAACAATTAAAATTGCTTGATGGCATAATGAAATCCACAGATTCTTCTTCTACTTCAACAGTCACTACAATTCGTGGGACTTCCATTTTATAGCCAAGGGGAATCATTCTAAAACTGCTATTCTAACGGCTATAGTTCAGTCCATGAGAGAATAATCCCACCCTTTATTCACTTGACCTTCTGTTTCCACTTTCTTTTACTTCGTTTTTCATAAAGAGAGCAAGTAGCTCACTCAAGAAAAGAGAGCAAGTAGTTGTTGATAAACAGGTTAACAGGTATAACTCCAAATGTTTGATGAATTGAAAACATAGCAAACCAAGTGATTTAGTTGTATGCATTATTGTTCTAGAATCTAAATATGCTTTCTTCAGCATTACATATGTATGTCGGGGGTTTTGGGGGGTTGCATGATAACAAATTCAGTTGTATTCCCTTTCATTTCTTGAAAGAGGCACAGTAATACCAAATTTGTTATGCATTACCATGGCGCAAAGCTGTAAATACACATTTGCTTTTTCCCTTTTCCCTACAGAACGTTATCATGTAGATTGCAATTGATTTGTCTGCATTAGTCAATAGCAACTAAAGAATTCCCAAGGTCTTCTATCATTAGTTTATTGCTTTTGGAGTGAATATCAGTTCTATCAAAACAACACATTTCTAAAATTGGACATTAAACTGCAGGACATCCTGTTAGTCATTGGTTATTGCATCCTTCCCGCAGTAATTATATATGTGATGTTTTCATCATTTGTGTCTGCGTGCTAATGCCATTGGCCAATAAATTGAAATGAATCACTCATCAGTTAGTTTTAAAATGAATATTTCAAGTTTCTGTTTCTGATTATATTAATCTCTCAGGTTCCATGAATTCTTAAAGCTAGAAAATGAAATTGGAAATATTACAAGACAGGAAGCTGTCAGCATGGTGGGCCAGTTTACATTCTGTCTCTCAAACTTCAAAATTATACACTTACGCTTTTCTAAAATTTATAGGCACTTGCTTTCCTAAAATTTAGCTTTTAGTAAAATGACTGGTTGTGATGCAGGTGCCTCCCCTCTTCTTGAATGTGCAGCCAAATCATTTTGTGCTTGATAGTAAGAAGTATCTAATTAACTGAAGTAATTTTATTTTTACTGTTCTGGTTTGTTGTACTTTTCTAATCGTAATGCTAAAAATATACAAGTTTGGCATTTCATTACTTCTTTACTCTGATGCTTCATTTGTTATTTTTTTAGTGTTTCTGACTACTTTATTATGACTTTGCTTTCCTTTAGTGTGTGCGGCACCAGGTTCGAAAACATTCCAATTGCTTGAGATTATATACCAATCAACTAAACCTGGATCACTTCCCAATGGAATGGTTATTCCCTTTTACTTATGCTGTGCCATTTTAATTTTTGACTACCTTCTTTTTTATCATTTTCTATTATTTATTGGTGGCTGGCTTCATCTTATCTGATTTTTTAGATCAGAAGTTTAGTAATTATTAGCTGTTCTTCTGGTCACATCAGCTATAACGCAACTTCTGTTTGATTATATTCTTTTCATAATTAGGTGATAGCAAATGATCTTGATGTTCAAAGATGTAATCTTCTCATCCACCAGACAAAAAGGATGTGCACAGCCAACCTCATCGTCACTAATCATGAAGCTCAGAACTTCCCAGGCTGTCGTTTAGTCAGAAATCATGAATCATTGGAACCAGAGCGGCATATGGGCCAACTTTTATTTGATTGCATTCTCTGTGATGTTCCGTGCAGTGGAGATGGAACCCTTCGCAAGGCACCTGATCTTTGGAGGAAATGGTATGATAGCTCTCTCTCCTTATTTTTTTCCGTCTGGATTCCTCTTCAATTACCATATTTTCCCCCCTTCAATTTTTTTTTTTTTTTTGGGTAAAGATTTGCTTGGCTTGTACACAGGAATATTGGAATGGGCAATGGGCTTCATAGCCTACAAGTTCTAATAGCTATGCGAGGTACTTCTTGATTGTTCTCTTATTTTATGGGTTTCCCTTTTATGTTGTCATTGTAATTTAAAAAAAAAAAAATTGTATTTGTGGTCAATGCTGATTATGATAAGAGCCCATGCTTTCATGTGTTGCATTTATTAGCAAGTTAAAGCACAGAAATGAATTCCTAAGCACTTTACTGGCCTGGGCCAACTTTGTTTTTTCTACAGGAAGTTCTCTGGTTTTGTTAAGGTTCGTGTTTTATTTCTTTATTGAATCAAGCCATATCATCGGATTTAACTGTATCCTTTAATCTTTGAAATCGAACAATAGCTTTCATGTTGTTTAGGAACTAGTAAGTCTGAAGGTCTGGACTAGTTGCTCATTGTTTTCTTTTCATTGCTGTGTTCCTTTGGAAGATAGAAGAATCTTTAATTCTTTAAAGCAAGGATTTTTTTTTTAATTGAGGAGTTTTAATTTTTAATTGACTTCCTTTTGATGCCAAAGGTCAAAAATGTTGATAAATCACTGGATTCTTACTGCTTTTTCCTAACTGATTATACGTTAGATAGGGTTGCAATTTTTAAGATGATTTTTGCCAAACTCAGCAGCTGTGTTGAATTTGTTAGGCTTATCTTTACTTAAAGTTGGCGGAAGAATGGTCTATTCCACCTGCTCAATGAATCCAATTGAGAATGAAGCTGTGGTTGCAGAGGTAATCAACTTTGGTTGCACTTGTCTTTTCGGTGGTTCGGCCAGGAGCCATGTTATGTAGTCTGTCTGGTTCGATAGCACTATCCTTAGATACTGAGCAATGTCCATGTTTAATTTGCATCTAACTAGACATGACACTGACACTTAAGAAGTATATGGACTCTTGGGATTTTCTTTTGTTGTCATTGTTGGTGTGCTTAATTTTTGGCTGTTTTTTTGTGTGCTTGTATTTTGCGTTTATTTAGGTGTGTGCTTGATTTTTGGCTGTTTTCTTGTGTGCTTGTATTTTGTGTTTATTTAGGTGTACGACTTTTTTTATCTGAACATGTTTATTCCATTGGTGCAACAAGTTCTTTTACTTACCATGTTGAGGGCTGTTGCCGATCCATTAGTCGTGGTCATGTCTCAAATATGATAATTTTAATTTTAATTATAAACAATGAACCAAAAGTGTCGCTCCAAGAGGAAAAAAAGAGAAGCAGAACATTGCTGTATACAATCATGTCATGTTGGCACCTAAATGTGTAACTGTATGTAAGTAGCTTGGTATCAATGATACGATGCAGATGGCCGATTTATTTTTATGCAATTGAAGACCTTAAATTTTTAAAATGCCAAGCATCTTTATCCATGTCTCTTCTCTGCGAAATCATGCCTGTTATTGCAAATAACCTTTTTATACCTCTTATCGTATCATCTAAAATGCTATAGTCCTGGCCAAGTCTCCGTGAAACGTGAACTTTGGTTGACTGCTTCAAGGTTATGTGCTTTACCTTGTGATATTGAAGGAAGAAATTAGAATGAATATTTTGATAGCCACAATCTTCCTTTGGCAGTAGTGTTAGGAACTTTTGAGAGATGTTTAAATGCATGTCTGTGCCTATGACAATGCATTAACCTGGAAGCTTTTGTTAATTTCCCCTAGCACCTGGGTCCACTGACTTTAGTTTGTAGAGAGTATTTTATACCATCATGTAAGAATTAGTTGATGGAAGATAACGGGTGAAATACCTAGTTCTGGAGGTAGCCGTCATTTATCTACTTATTTAAATGAACCTTTGGTGCTTCATAACTTGGACTTTAATCTGTGAAGGGCCATGGCTAATTCTCTATATCTAATTTTTTGACAAACTGCAGGTTTTACGGAGGTGCGGAGGATCTGTTGAACTTGTTGATGTCTCAAATGAGCGCCCCCAGCTTTTGCGCCGTCCAGGTCTCAAGAAATGGAAGGTTTGTGTTTTTCCACCCGAATCTTTCCTTCGGTTGTATATTAAATTCAAGGGAAAATTAGAGAAAGACCAAGAGGGAATAACATTTATCGGAGAGGATCATAACAATTGTAATTATTTAAAAGATCAAATACTAAAATATTAATTCAAAAGTGATCCTTGCCCCTGACTGAACCTCCTACATTCTCTCCTATGTTCTATTTTAAAAACTAATGCCAAATTTAAATATCACTAAATTCAACAGAATTTCCCTCAATCTTTACAACTTGTGTAAATATCAATCGGAAAGAAACACACAAACATTTTTCAGATATGTCAAAATTAGAATTTTATTTTTAAAATAAAAACATTTGATTGAAAATAAAAAATATGTAATTTTAGTAAAATTTGAGATTCTTCTATAATTTACTACATATTTTTAAAAAAGGTTATATATGCCTAGAATAAAAAAACTATGAAATTTAAAATAATTCAAAGAAAGTCTGTATAATGGCCAAAGTATGCATTTGGTCCTTTAACTTTATGCAAGAATTCAGTTTAGTCCCTTAACTTTAAGAAATATATTTTTAGGCCTTTAACCCTAAAATCACTAATCTTAAATGATGTTTTTTTTCTAACAATCATAATTGTTTTGAAAATTAAATTTAATATGTTAGTATTTGAAAATTTTATCAACATTCAATATCTCAATATTTTCATTGTTTGTTGATGGTTTTAGGGTTAAAGAACTAAAAATGTGCCGCTATTTAAAGGGATCAATTTTTTTTCCCCCACCAAAAAAGGGATCAAATGTGAAACATTGTCAAAAGTTAAAAAAATCTAAAAGTATGCTTTAGCCTCTTATATAATTTATTTTTATTTTCAAAGAAATTTCTGTAATTTGTAAAAATTAAAAAAAGTCCATGTAATGTTGATAAAATTAAAAATATTTGGATAATATATTATAATTTTATGTGGAATTGGTAAGCTGGATTCGCTCCATTAGACAATACTTGTATAATTCAAAAATATATATTATCAATAAAAATTTCCGTATGACCAATAAAATCTATAAATAAATCACAATAGAAACAAATGGTAACGAGGTTTCTTATGTTTTTTTGTGGGGGATAGTTCCTTTTTAACATCTTAACGGGCTAATTACTAAGATATAGGGTATAAATTTAACATCTTTTAGATTAGTCTATTTCACTCTCATTAACTTTTTTGTCTTGGTATGCCCCCTTGTTGTAACCTTTTCAAGTGAAGCATAATTTCTTTCATCTTTCTTTATTTTTTTTTTTAAATATTTGATCTTATAATTTTATTGATATATTTTATGTGGATTTAATGATTTTAATTAAATGATTCTGAGGGGGAGTCTTATGATACACACACATAATATAAACTATAAAGCTCTAGCAAATCACACCATTTATTTATAAATTATAAATAATGATTATTTTACATAACCTCATGAGATCCACATTAATTTGTGCATAATTTGAAATGTTATAAATCTTAAATTGATATTGAGATCATATTTATTAGCAAGAACCGGAGGTAGTAATATGTTAGGATGTTTCAATTTCTGACACTATTTACATAACATTTTATTTTTGTCTCTGAAGTTTACACTAGTTCTGATAAAATATGAAATGAGTTTAATTTTTAGTGAAGAGATTTTATTGATAGCAGTGATGACAATATAAACAAGACAAAAAATAATTAATGATGATATAAATGAACAAATATCGATAGTAATAATTAAATGGGATGTTGATGATACGGTGGATGCTACTCTTGGTGAAGGAAAAACGTTTAAAAAAACAAATGATATGGTCCTGGGGATAATGGGTGGTTTTAGTTTTTCTTTGGAGAAAAAAAAAATCTGTAGGTAAGAGGGAACCTAGAATATATGGCTAGGGATATTTTTAAATTAATATTTTGGTATTTAGTCCTTCTAAATAATTTTTTTTGACCAAGAAAGGTCCTTCTAAATAATTACAGTTTCTATGATCCTCTTTAATAATATAATTTTCTGTGTCCTCTCCAATTTTCCCTAAATGATCATTTGAAGATATTACATTGAATACAAGAGTTGCACTTTTTTATTTCCTACATGTGTCAAGGTTGAGCTGCTTGAGCATGTTAGTCAGCGCTCTCAGCTTTAGTAAGAGAAACCACACTCTTACAAAAGTATTTGTGCATCAAAGTAGTTTATTCTTTTTTTACAAAACGATCCAGAGGATCTTGAAGCAATCGGATACCAAATTGATGAACAAGAGAGGGGAAGGAAGAGGAGTAGAGTAGGGAGGAGAGCAAGAAAAGGAGGGAGATATAGACGAAATAAGGGAAAGGTAGAAGAAGAGGGAGAGAAATCTTAAACATCAACACTCTATTCATTTCATCCAAAAGTCTACAATAAAAATAATTTTAGCCCATCAAGTTCTAAGAAACCTAAACCCCTAACTTAGTCTTCGAGCAAAAGAAATTATAAAAATGGAAGACTCCACTATATAAGAAACAATCTCATAAATCTAAACCTAATCCAAATTATTTATTTAAAAGATAATAATGTAAATCATATTTAAGATCCTAATAAAGATAATCATAAAATTATACTAGATTTTCCTAGAATTCTAGATATCCGTAATTAACCTCATATCTCATCATTAACCGAGTATTCTAAGATCTTTTGTTCTTAAAATCTATTCAAAGGCTGAAAGCTTCGTCTCTTTCAACTCAAGACTGCTAGCTCAAGTTGCGGGAAATTAATGGACTTGGACCGTTGTTTTTTCAGTTAGCTAATGTTTGGATGGGGTATTGGTTAATTATTTTTAATTAAATGTATGATAATATATGATTATTACTAAGTTGTCTGTCCACCTAGTTAAGTGGAATGACAAAAATCTGGTTCCCCAATAATAGCTTGCATGTCGGGCAGAAGCTATTGGATTTGTGAATGAGTGCATGAAATGAGCTTTGTGGCTTCATTTGTGGAAGGGTTAGGTAACAGTATGTGTTTTAATATTTCTGAAAGGTTTGATTTTGGCGGTGCAGGTGCGTGACAGGGGCGTGTGGTTGTGTTCCTATAAAGATGTTCCCATGTATCGAAGAAGTGCAGTTCTTCCCAGCATGTTTCCTTGTGGAAAAAATTGTCAGGACCTTGTTGACAGTAATCACAAGGTGGAAATGGGAGATGATAATGATAAGGGTGTTTGTGGAAACTCTGAAGATGGCAATCAAGCAGCAGAGAATCCTGGAACATATAAGTTTACTGAGGAAGTATCTGATTTACCACTAGAGCGTTGCATGAGGATTGCACCTCATGATCAAAACACTGGAGCTTTCTTTATTGCGGTACTGCAAAAGGTTTCAGCTCTTCCAGGTAATTTTAAACATGATGTTAGTTGTCCCTCTGTCATAATATCTGTTAATGATAGTCAAGAATTCCTGGTCATCATGGTTACTAATTCCTCTTTCAGTACTCATTTTCCATGTCGCATTCTTTCCAACACAGACTTCCCTTCCATGTTGATTGTGTGCTATAATTAAGTTATTGTTTTCTTCTTTGCAGCAATTCCTGCTCCAGAAAAAACAAAAGATGGAATTCCTAAGCAGGATGGAGAACCAGAGAACCAGGATATTGAGGATTCAAAAGTATTGCAGGTCGAGTCATTAGAAAATACACCTGAGGAAGCTTTGGAAGTAGTTACTGTAATCGATAACAAACCCAACACAGATGTGGAAACTAGTCATTCTGGTGCATGTTTAGAAGAGGATTCAGAGGAAGGGCAAAAGCCTCTTAAAACAGAAAGCATAGTAAAAATGACTCCAGGAAAAAGAAAGCTGCAGATTCAAGGCAAGTGGAGAGGCGTTGATCCTGTTTTCTTTTTCAGAGATGAAGTCACTATTAACAGCATAAAGGATTTTTATGGTATTGATGAAAGGTTTCCATTCAATGGTCAGCTTGTCACTAGAAACATTGATAGAGGCCGTGTGAAAAGAATTTATTATGTCAGCAAGTCAGTCAAAGATGTTCTTGAACTGAATTTCTCAGTCGGGCAGCAACTCAAAATAGCATCTCTTGGTTTGAAGATGTTTGTGAGTATATCTAATTCTTCATCCTTCAACCTCTGATATGAGTGTTGGTAGTGTCGTCTAGCCTCCTTTTTTTCAAATAAATCAGTGCAAGAGACTATAGTGACCATGTGGTTTGGTGAGACCTAGAAGATCAGGGGCAGGTGGAGCTAGGGATTTGTGTGAGCAAAGGATATATAATGGCACCGAAGGTAGATTTAGGGCCTGTTTGTTTACCTCCAGGTTCTCCCAACAACTCATCTGTGGACTAAAACCACCTTTTTAAAACAGATTTTTTTACGCACTAATTAAATGGATTTTAGTTAGCAGAAGTGTGGTTTATAAACTTGTTGACATGATAATAATATTGAATTGAGAAATTGAGCACATATGACTCCGAAGTTGGATGATTTTAAAACTATGATTGCTCATGGCTTCTTATTACCAACTAGATATGAATTTTAGCCGTATGAAGGGATATAATTCCAACTATGATAATTTACTGGACCATCTTGTATAAAATGTCTTTATTTTTATTCACAACATTTCAAGTCCAATCACTTTGCTGTGAGAAATATGATTGCTTAGCCCAGACTGTCTCTGGTGAAAGACTTGTTTGTGGGAGAAATTAAATAAAATTACTGTGCTCTGATCCCGCAGGAAAGACAGACATCAAGAGAAGGATGCTCAGCACCATGTGCTTTCCGAATATCATCTGAAGGATTGCCTCTTATTTTGCCATACGTTACCAAGAGGATTCTTCATGCATGTCCTGGAGACTTCCAGCATCTTCTGCAGTACAAAACAATAAAATTTGCGGATTTTGTTGATGCTGAGTTTGGCAAAAAGGCAGAAAACCTAACGCCAGGGTATTGTGTGATAGTTCTGAGTAAAGGTATGTATTGTTTTATCATACTGTGGGGATGGTGAACGCCCTGTAACATTTCTGTTTACGCCGGCTCTTACCTTTTTCTGCAGGGAAAAGAGAACCACCAGAATTGGTTCACGTGGAAGAGTCTACCATAGCCATTGGATGCTGGAAAGGCAGGGCCAGTTTGACTGTGATGGTTACTGCAATGGACTGCCGGGAACTGCTCGAGAGACTTCTAGTGCGCTTTGACACAGAAAATGGTTCCTCCGTGCATGAGAACAGGCCCTCCAATAATGCTGTTGATGAAGCGCAGGGCCCTAACGGCATCGATGACTCAGAAGCTCCTAACGGTGTCGATGACTCAGAAGCTCCCGGAGGCGACAATACCTAATAGGTTTGCGTACATGCTTGTATGAGTGAAATTAGCGTAACTTATCAGTAGCTCCATCAATTGATGTAAAACATGCATGGTTATAGGTTACGTATTGCTTCAAAGAAATTGTTTCTTCAGCATTGCTTTGATACGGATGAGGTTTAAGGTGAAAGTTGCCATGTGGTTAATTTGTTGTCGGAGTATGATTGACAGTAACACGTGATATACCCGCACATGAGTGGAGGAGTTAAAGATACTTATTTTGGTCTATGGTCAAATCTTCAATATTTTTCAAAATAGTATTGAGGTACTTAATATAAGAGTTAATTAATTTGAGTAGATTAAGAAAGTTTGTTGAGTTAGCTATTTGTAATGATTAGGTGTTATCTTTCTTAAAATATTCTTACTACTTATGTATTAGTTAAAATTATTATTTGATTGAATATGTAACATATAACTATTATAATGATTACTTTGAAAAAAAGATGAATAAATACTAGAGACAAAATGGATTGAGATATTATATTTAAGATCAAATTGAAAATCAAACTAATTCTTATATTAAGGAGTGAAGGTAGTAATTTCGCAATTATTAAGATATTTGTAATGCTAGTAATGATACTTAGAGTTGGTAATATGGGTTAAACTTGCGGGTCTAACCCGCCAATCCACTAAAAATAATAGGTTAGGGTTGGTTAAAACTCAACCTGTCAGTAAACAACGCTTTTCAACCCACGTCTAACTCACAACCCATTGCGGGTTAACCCGCCGACTCGCAGGTCAATCTGCATTTATTTTTTTTGTATTTTTTAAATTTTATTAATCATTATATGTATATTATTATATTATATATTCTATCTAAAAAATTTAAAAAATACCTATATCATTTATTTATTTGTGTTTTTATCAAGTATTTAAAGAAAAGATAAAAATTTTACTATATTTTTTATATTGTATAAGAAAAATATTTAAAAAATAAAAAAATTAAAAAAATAGTAAGTGAGTTGGTGGGCCAACACATCAACCCATCATGGCGGGTTAGAGTTGGCTAAAAGCCAACCCACCATTACACAGGACCTTTTTAGCTTACACCGCCTAACCCTAACCTATCACGGGCCAATCCGCAGGTTGCAGGTTGGCCCATATTACTACCCCTAATGATACTAGTTTCCCGTTGAAAATTTAACGTTGAAGTTAATATATTATTTGGACAATGATAATTTGGATGTTGTTAGATTGATTTTATGTTAAACTGAATTAGTGTGTTTGGAAGCGGTGAATTATAACTCAATCTGACTTTTACAGAAGTCAATTGGATAAAAGTAGCTTTTTGAGCTTATTGTAAAGTCCGTTGTCACAGAAGTAGATTGCAAATGTGATTCCAAACACATCCCAAATCAAAAAAAACTCCTTTTACCGGTAAGAAGTCAGTTTGAAGGTCCAGATGTGATTCCAAACACTTATAAACGTCTTTTAGATGCTTATTGTAACGTTGTTAAATTACTCGAATTTAACATATAAAGTTCTTCTACAAGGAAGATGTTAATATTTGACCTTGTTTCTAATCTTAAAACACTAATTCTTACTCTTCACTCAATACTTCTGATTTCTTATACAAGAACTTATTTGATTTTTATTTAGTCTTAAATATAAAATTCTAATTCACTTTTATCTCTCTTTTTTAGATAGTCGTTGTAGTCGTTGTAATAATGGTAGTTCTGACCAATACATTTCACTAACAATGATATTTTTAAAAAAAACACCACCTATTTATACAATAACTAACTTAATTATTTTTTTAATCTGCTCAAATTAGTCAACTAACTCTTATATTAAGGATCGGAGCTAGTAATAGATTACTCTAATTCTACCGTGACACTGGCGAAATGCCATTGATCAGAAATTGAAATGACCTCAGCAGCTATCAAAGCCATGCCCACATGTCATATGCACTAGCAACACCATTATAGTCTAATTTACAATACAGTCAACAATTCCGACTAATAATTGACCCCCTAAAAGCGTAACGCCATAAATCACCTTCATCTCTAGTTCTTCCCTCATCAGCTCAAGCAAAATAAACTTGAAAAAGTGATGCAAATGTGCAAAGGAAAAGCAACCAAACCTTAAAAAATTGAGAATAGGAATATCGTATAATGAATGGGGTAAATTGAAAACAATTATAAAGAAACTCAAGATGACTGACAACACATATTCCTCTTAGTAGGTATTTCTTGAGCAGGACCTGGAATTATAATTTTCTTGCCAGAAGGAGGCGCAGCGTTGCCGTTTTGATTTTCACTGGCAGCTAGGTTTTTCTTGTTGACAATGTTGAAAATTTCCGTCAAAACAGTCATGAAGGCTGTTTCAACATTAGTTGCTTCCAGTGCCGAGGTCTCTAAGAAAAACAGTCCCTCTTTTTCAGCAAATTCTTTTGCATCCTCCGTGGGCACTGCACGTTGGTTCTCAAGATCACTTTTGTTTCCAATTAGAATGATGACAATGTTCTTGTCAGCATGGTTACGTAGTTCTTCAGCCACCGAGGTATGTGATCAAAAGTCTGTCGTTTGCTGATGTCATAAACTATCATGGCCCCCACAGCACCCCTATAGTAGGCACTTGTAACTGCTCTGTATCTGAACAAAAAACATAGATATACATCTAGAAAATCAGTAATTCAGCATTTATGCACCTGCTAGGAGTTCATGTCAAAAATGTATAATTACTAATGCATATATGTACATAGATATCAATTCCAAATTCATCCAGGAATACAAAACATGATAAATAAGAAAATTAAATATGATCATGGCAGATGAGGACAACACAGTCATCTATCTGACCAGAATGAAAACACAACATTCATATCATA